GTAGTTTAGACTAACCAAGGTTCCGCCCTACTTTCTGTCTTCAGAACCTAACCCCAGGGTCATTTAGTCATGGTGCTGGTGACACCCACAGCAAGTTATTTAATCTCTCTGATCCGGAGCACCCCTAGCTACACACACTGTAAGGTTGTTGTGAGGACAAAATGAGACATAAACATGAAATGCACACCAGGCACCTGGGTGGCTTAGTCGGTTAAGCATCTGCCTTTGGCTCGGGTCATGATTTTAGGGTCCTGGGATCAAGCCCCACGTTGTGTTCCCTGCTCAGCCAGTAGTCTTCTCCCTCTACCCCTCCCCCACCCGGTTAGTGCTCTCTCTCTCTCCCAAGTAAATAAATAAAATCTTTTTTTAAAAAATGAAATGTGCACAAACCACACATAAACAGATCTCTTGTGCATATAGAATTTCTGTGTCTGGTTGATTTGTGGAGAATGTGCACCTACCCCAAAGAAAAACTCAAAAATAAGCCTTTTTATGGTATTTAGTTTAGCTATTTTTTTAAAACTACTTGATGTGGTATCATAACATTAGGACCCATTCAGCTCTGGCTGTTAACCTAATACACCTCCCGGCAACATTAAGGACACTGTACTGATATGATGTTTGCTAAGGCTAGGGTGAGCAGCCATGTGTGAAAGCAAGACTCCAAAGCAGATAAGAAAGATACTGAAGGTTTCAGCTTTTCAGCCTGTCTGTTCTTCCACAGGCCGTATACACAGGCCAGTCTGTCAGCAGAAATGAGAACCAGGCTCTGCTCTCTCCACACTCAACTGCTGCGCTCAGGGCCCCACATAGAGCCAGGGTCTAACAGTATCTCTAAAAGACCCCTATGTCCTCTTGGCACCAGATCTCCTCCATGAACCAGAAACAAAGTTGTAGAACATGATACAAGGACAACACACAAGTAAACACAGCAAAGTTATTGTGCAATGGGAGGAAACACTGCCAGAACACCACACCATCAACTACAAAAGTCCCAAATGTGGAGAAATGACACTGACAACTGCCATTTTTTCCCAAGCTGACTGATAATAGCCTTGTGCTATGATAGCAACTTCTGGTGGTATTTGCTGGGAGTCTGAATTAGGCTATTCTCTAAGAAGTGGTAGTAGGAGTACTAGCAAAAGTAGCTAGTTGCAGTCCATATTCTAAGTACTTTATGTACAGTAACTCATTCCATCTTCCTCTAAACCCGATGGGATATATATTATTTCCATACCCGTTTCAGAGATGAAGGAACAGAGCTTAGAAGAAAACTGCCAAGATTATATAACTATCAATTGTAGGAGCTAGGATGTGAACTTGGGTAGTCTGTGTCCAAAGCCTGTACTTTTCATCTCAGGGGCTGGCACACTTTTCTGTAAAGAGCCAACTAGTAAATATTACAGACTTTTATACAGTTGCATATTTTTATTGTTTTTTAATAATCCTTATAAAATGTAAAAACCAATCTTAGCTCAGAGGCAAGACAAAAACAGGCTGCAGGCCCATTGGGACCTGTAATAATAAATGATCTGCTGGTTAATACTATACACATTGATCAAAGTTTCAAGTATACAGAGGATATGCTATTTGATACCCAGCCCCTTTGGTAAATCCTATATGCCTGTAATACAAATGGGTTTCCGTTGATAAAATAATCCATAATTCTGATGTCATCTCTTTCTCATTTTGTCAGAGTTATGAGGTCTCACTGCCTTTTCCATGAGCCTCCCTCCTAACTATGGCTCCTGTTGCTGTACATTTAAGAAAGAACAGTAAATGAGGCCAGCATTACCCTGATTCCAAACCCAGATAAAGACACAACAAAAAAAAAGAGAACTACAGGCCAATATCTCTGATGAACGTAGATGCAGAAATCCTCAACAAAATATTAGCAAACCGAATCCAATAATATATTTTATTTTTTGTTGTTTTGTTTTTTAATTTTTTTTAAGATTTTATTTATTTGACAGAGAGAGACACAGCGAGAGAGGGAACACAAGCAGGGCGAGTGGGAGAGGGAGAAGCAGGCTTCCTGCTGAGCAGGGAGCCCGATGCGGGACTCGATTGCGGACCCCTGGACCATGACCTGAGCCGAAGGCTCATGACTGAGCCACCCAGGTGCCCCCCAACAATATATTTTAAAAATTCATTCGCCATAGTCAAGCAGGATTTATTCCCTGGATACAATGGTGGCTCAGTATTCACAAGTCAATGTGATACATCACATCAATAAGAGAAAGGATAAAAACCATACAATCGTTTCAACAGATGCAGAAAAAACATTTGACAAAGTACAACATCCATTCATGATAAAAACCCTCGACAAAAGTAGGTTTACAGGGAACATATCTGAACATAATCAAGCCCTTATATAAAAAACGCAGCGAACATTATACACAATGGGGAAAAACTGAGAGCTTCTCCACTAAGGTCAGGAAGAAGACAAAGATGTCCACTCTCACCACTTTTAAATAATGCAGTACTGGAAGTGCTAGCCACAGCAATCAGACAAGAACAAGGCATCCAAGGTAAGCAAGAAGTAAAACATTTATTATTTACAGATGGCATGATGCTATATAGAGAAAACCCTGAAGACTCTACCAAAAAAACTACTAGAACTGATAATTAAATTCAGTAAGATCACAGGATACAAAAATCAATGTACAGAAATCCGTTGCATTTCTATACATTAATAATGAAGCAGAAGAAAGAGAAATTAAAAAACAATGCATTGCAATTGCACCTAAAATAATAAAATACCTAGGAATAAACTTAACCAAAGAGGTGACAAAAACACTAATTCAAAGGAATACCATGCACCCTTATGCTTACTGCAGCATTATTTACAAGAGCCAAACTATGGAAGCAGCCCAAGAGTCCAATGTGGTAGATGAATGGACAAAGAAGATGTGGTATATATGTACAATGGAATATTACTCAGCCATAAAAAGGAATGAAATATTGCCACTTGCACCAACACGGATGGATCTAGAGAGCATAATGCTAAGTGAAATAAGTCAGTCAGAGAAAGACAAACACTGTGTGATTTCACTCATATGTGGAATTTTAGGAACAAAACAAATGAACAAAGGAAAAAGAGAGACAAGCCAAGAAACAGTCTTAGCTTTAGAGAAGAAACTGATGGTTACCCGAGGGGAGGGGGGCCGGGGGATGGGGAAAATAGGTGATGGGGGTGAGGAGCACACTTACCTTGATGAGCACTGAGTAGGAATTTTGAATCACGAAATTGCATACGTGAAAGTGAATAGAACAGTGTATGCTAACTACCGTGGGATAAAAAGGGAAAAAAGGGGGGGGGGCTGTGAGGATTTAATAAGAGCTTCTCTTCCAGCCACTTTTAATCTGTCATTGGCTTTCTCCCCATGCTGATTATTGTGTATGGAAGTAACTTTAGACAGTATGGAATTGGACTGGAGTCTGTTCTCTTTTGACTGTCTAGAAATAAAGGCATAAATAAGATGCATTCTTTCTAAAACATTAGGCCTATCACTTTTCTGGGACCAGACATTAATTAGGGGGGTTAACACCAGTAGAACCAGCAACCTGGCATCTAATCTTTGATCATTTTCATGAAAGCTTAAAATGTCTTATAAAGAGACATGGCTTATGAAATGGATTAGTATCACAATGGGACTTCATGCTTTCTAGGTACCTCCTGTATGCTTGAAGATTCAAAATGTCATCACAGCGTTCTAGGCAAGGTTAAACTAGGGAGAAATCCCTGTGTTATGTTAGTAGGTTGGCTCAAGATTAAATCTTGGACTTGCAAATAAATCCTGGTCATTTTTTGACACCCCTGTGGTACATAATATAGAACTGTGCCTCATGTAATAAGTGTGAGGAAATCCTTGTTTTGGTTCTATCAGTTTGAAACTTAAGAGAAAACTTAACAGAAGTGTCTTTCAAGTTATTTTGACGACGACCTGTGAAAAAATATATATGCCAAAAAATTTTATCATGATACAATCCATATCTACCTACACACATATGTAAAACCAAAACGAAGTTTCAGAAGCAACACTATTCTTCCTACATTTGAGACATTTCTGTGATTGTTTTCTGACCTATTCTACTTTGTTTAAATTTTGGATGCTTCTCATACCACCCAATTTATTTCATAACTCATTAATGGGGCTTGACCCCATTTGAAAAACAGTTCCCCAGAAGACCCTCATGCTCACACTGCTCATATTTACAAGAAGCAGCCGTTTTGAGGTCCTTGTGCATCTTTACAGCTAGGTTGATTTATTTGCTGAGAAGCAACTATGTGGAAATCACTGTGTGAGGCTCTGTGGGAAGTGTAGAGTTTTGCTTTCAACTACCTCAAGCCAGGAACCTTCTGAGTTGCTAAGAAACCAGGATGAACAAAAGGACCTATTATCTCTGCCCTCACTGAGTTTATAATCTAGCGGATTAAAGAAACTCGAACTGCAGGAATTTCAGGAAATAAGTCATCCACTTGACTTTATTAGCACTGTCTGGGTGGAAGGTATGTTTTTCTTATCTAGGAGTGTCAGTCCTGTTTCTCTAGGACCAGATCTCTCCGTAATCATTAGTGTTCAGTGATGCTCCTCCTGACCTTGCCACTTATGTGAAATCCATTGTTATATGCTCTTAGATCCCCACGACTTCTCTCTTTACATTTAGCAGGAGTTTTAATTGTCCATTAAGTTATGACTATTTCATCTATAAGTGTGTCTCTCTATCTGGAGCCCTTACTAAACTACAGGCTCCAAAAAGGTAGAGATCCATTTTTACTTTGCTATTACTATATCCCCCAGTACTAAGCACTGTGATAGAGTAAGAAGCATTTAAGAAATATTTATTGAATAAATGAATGGGTATCCTAAGGTCATCTGGAATGTTGTCTTAAACAAGGTACTCTGGTTTTGCCTAATCTTTATTATTTATTAGCAACTAAAAAACAACTGATAATCCTTCACATTGTTCTTTCTGTTTGTTTTGCAGTCAACTTTGACCACTTTGAAATTTTGCGAGCCATTGGGAAAGGCAGTTTTGGGAAGGTGAGAACCAAAATGATTAACCACCAGCAGGGTCATGTAGCTCAGGGAACAGAGTCTGAGAATGTTCAGATTATTTCAGTTACTGGGACCACAAGGAATGATAATTCAGAGAGGTTTTTATAAAATTGTCACTAGAGTTTGAGGTGTGTGATGTAATGGATACCTATTGTTCTCAGAATTATTTCATTGTCATGCCCATTTACTCTCACTAGATTTTAAGACTTTCTCTCCACTCTAAAATTTTGGTCTCAGTTGCCAATTGTACCCATACCTTCGGTAACACTTATCCTGTCAATGTAAAAGTTAATTCTTTTTTTTTTTTTTTAAGATTCTATTTATTTAAGAGAGAGAGAGAGCATGGGCAGGGGGAGGGGCAAAGTGTGAGGAAAAAGTAGGCTCCCCACTGAGCGGGGAACCTAACAGTGGGGCTTGACTCCAGGACCCCAGGATCATGCCCTGAGCTGAAGGCAGATGCTTAACCGACTGAGCCACCCAGGCACCCCAAGAGTTAACTCTTTTTATGTGGAAAAGATATCTGTTTTTCCTCTAGTTATACCATGTTTTTATTTTCAAAAATCGACCATGAAAGATAGATCCAGCCTAATTTTTTTGCAAGAAACTTCTGGATTCAAATCCTGATCATTAGTTCCTTGGTAGAGACATACTTTGAGAGTATTTCTTATTTCATATTCAACTTGGATTTTAAAATCATCTGCTGCCCACTTTATCAGACATCTAGAACCTCTAAAAGAATTTCAAAAACACGGACATCATATTTAGTGCTTTCCCAGTGCTTTAAGTCCCTTTAGGTTCTATCAACTACTGTGTAAAGAGAAATTCTTGGCGCAGTGTTGTTCGGCTCGGCAGTTTAGCCATGCCCATATCAGTCACTCAAAGCAGAATAGCATGTCATTGGCTGTTGGACGATTCCTGACAAGGAAGCAGCTATTTTCTCCAACATGCTGTCTAAACAAAACCCAAAGAGCGAAAAACAGGCAGGCTTGCTTGAGAAAACAGAGATTCACGAACTGACCTGGTACAGGGGAAGAAAATGAAATTTTCTACTCTGAAATCAGAGCTAAGCAGCAACGTCAGCATCAGAGAATTTGCAAGTGGTGAGGCCTCCAGGCCATGCTTTTAAGAACCTCCTGTCCTGTCTCCCACCGCCGTGATCTGTCAACTCCCTGACCACTTTCTCATTCTGGTTTGCGCCATTAGGTCTGCATCGTGCAGAAGAATGATACTAAGAAGATGTACGCAATGAAATACATGAACAAACAAAAGTGCGTGGAGCGCAATGAAGTGAGAAATGTCTTCAAGGAACTCCAGATCATGCAGGGTCTGGAGCATCCTTTCCTGGTTAATTTGTGGTAAGTGTTTTACGGGATTCTGAATGGAGTCATTCCTACCTTCACCCCCAAACACTGTTCCCTAAATCCATCTTGATTTCCAGGTGTGCATTTGCAAAATCTTCGGTAGGCTCTTCCTCAAGGGCTTTGGTTCTTCTTGATTTCTTTGGCTTTAAATGAAACAAATTGTTGTTTTATTGTCACGAATAAATACTGCTTGTTTTGTTTTTGTTTTTGTTTTTGTTTTTTGTCACAGTTCCCCTGGTCCTTGAGGACCATATATTTTTTAAAACATGGCAGCTAAATTGGCTGACAAAGAATGAGTTCAGGTGTCTTGTCATTTGTTAGATAATGTTTCCCCCATTAATTGTGGGGTAGGGACATTGGGTACTAAGTAGGTCATCAACTGCTGAGGGGAGGTTGATCTTGAGAACTTGTACAAAAAAGCACTTGCTCTCTACAATGACTGGCAGTAGACATGGATTCCTTGTAGCGTCCTTCTGGAGTGGCCACCTACATATACCTGGGAGTTGGAAAAGGACACGTGCTGCCTTTCTCACCAAATAGCTTCTAACAGAGCTGGAGCTAACTCAGATCAGTGGCTAGACATTAGGTAACTGTGATCTCCTCCCAAAGTCAGGATCATAATCCAAGGCTTAGAAAATGGCTAGAAGCTAGCTGTGTCTCTTACTCCCTGCTCTTTTCTTACGCGTGGAGGTCTGTATGTGGCTCTCTCGTATTCCTCTACACTTTAATGCATCCATTATGTTAAGGGCCTATTCTTAAAGCTAATTCAGTGTGACTGTTACTTAAATATGCATACCAAGCAGTTTCTACTCGAAAAGGCAAAAAAAAAAAAAAGAAAGAAAGTCTTTATTCAGAGAATACTAATGGAAAAATAATTGGAATGTCACTGTGTAAGTTTAGGGACATTTCTCTGGAGGAGTTAATGCATACAACCTGTCTCCCTCCATCCTTAATTAATACAGTTCACTTAATATACACTTTGCTCCAAGACTGCACCCCATAGTTGAAAAGATGGTTCTGTGTGACCTGGAAATGGGTCCCTTTGGTTCGCGCCCTCCTCAGACACAGTGGAGTCTAATTCTGGCCCACGCTCGGCGTCTTTAATCAGTAGCTCAGAGTGGCCTGTTCACCGTGCTGCCACGCAGCGTTACATGGATATAGCTCTTTCTTCCCCACATTTAGCAATCACCAGATTGCCTTTTTCCCCCCTCTCTCCACCCTGACAATGACGAGGTGCTCTCAATTCACATCCTCCCTTTGTTCAAAGTCACATTTTCCTTCTTCCAAAGTTCAGCCAACTAATTCTCTCCTTTTAAGACCAGGAACCCTTCAAAAGGACATAGCATTTCCCCCTTTCTTGCCGGTCCCTCATCACTGAATAAGCAAAATGGATTTCAGTCCCTTCCCATTTTTATTTATTCTGTTTTTTTGTGGGGTGGGTGTTAGGAGACTTGAAGCTGGCCAAAGTTTACTGATTTTGCCATTTGCTAACTTGGTGTCAATGCAGGCAACACTCTGTCCTCCATGCATGCGGACTTGGTGATAACATGACATAGAGCCTAGCCTTCCCTCTCACACCGAACCTCACAGGACAGTGGACACCATTAATAGTGATGGAGGAGAGAGAAGAAATCTGTCCCACCTTAATTCTAGTACCACATTCAGAACTGTAAACTGAGGGGGGGCATTCTTCAAGTAGAGCAGAAAACTTTCAGTCTTTCAAATCCTGAGATAAAAATTGTCAGAAAGCATATTTATTCCAAGGCTTTCTGCCTTAGTAAGTACAACATAGGAAATGTAAGTGACTCTCCAACTATTAAGCACCTTGTGATACTTCTGGAGGTGGGACCTGTGAGCAATACTCATCATTTTTTGTAAGATTTATTTATTTGATAGAGCACAAGCAGGTGAAGGAGGAGAGGGAGGGAAGAGGAGGAAGCCGACTCCCCACTGAGCAGGGAGCCTGATGCGGGGCTCGATCCCAGGACCCTGAGATCATGACCTGAGCTGAAGGCAGCCGCATAAGTGACTGAGCCACCCAGGCGCCCCTGTCTTTGACATTTTTAAGTCACATGGTTATAAGACGGGGTTAATGTGTGTAACTTGGGGGTTGTTTTTATGAACAAAATGAGATACAGTGCTATGCCCAGCACAGAGCAGACATAATATAAATGGGAGTTCTTTCCCTTCCTTGCTCCATGAACGTGTAGCATTCTGAACATGTCCGTCACTCTGCTGGGCCACTGTGGGCTATGCCAGACACAAATTCCGGAGGTGCTCAGCCTGAAAACATCACAGGAAGTTAGTAAATGGTGGGCGAGGGCCAAGTCTTCAACTCATTCTCTGTAAGAGCTCACGTTTGTTTTGATTTCCACCCTCATTCTGCAAATCAAAGAACAAAGATTCAGAGATTCCCCCATTATGTACAATTTAATCAGCATTTTGTGTCTTAGGTTTCACTCGTTTTATCTTTACATCCCCAAAGCTTCAGGAGCCAATTTTCTTAAGAAGCACCATATGATTAATAATGTAACAGCAATCCTTTTTAATTCCTGTGTACCCCTTGTGTAGTCTATTGTACTGGTAAGCTACGTAGGCCTCTCAGTATTGCTTTCAGTAGTCTTCTTGTGGATACTCAAAATGCCGCTAACCCCTAAGGATGTGTTCAGAAAATTCTGGTTTTCAGGCTGAGGAAAAACACAAACTGTTTCTTTTAAGCAGGTTTTACACTAATGTTAAGAAGTTGGTGTGTGTGTGTGTAGAGAGGTATAACTACATACATATGTGATATGTGAAAACTATACACATGGCAGTCAACTTGAAGAACAGAAAAATCACATAGAAAAATGAAAATTCTCCAATAATGCTACCACCTTGAAACAACCACTTCCAACATGTTGGTGTGTACTTGCCAGAAAATGTCTGCATCTGGTTTTCTGCTTTTAATCACATTCATTCTCTCATTCATGGATATATTTACCGAGCAACACAAACAAGGTAGAATTAGTGTTGCCGGATAAAATACAGGACGCCCAGTTAGATTTGAATTTTAGAAAAATAACCAGTCATTTTTAGGATATGTCCCAAATATTACACAGCACCTATTTTATCTGGAAATTATTCATTTTCCAAATTTCTAATGTAAGTGGGCACCTTGTATTTTTATTTAGTAAATTTGGCAAACCTAATTGTAACACAAACTTAGAATAGGGGGATGCAGTGGTGAGCAGTAGTGGACAGAGCCCCTGATCGACCCCATATTTCCAGTAACTGTGAGAGGCTCATATTAATCAAAGGATATAATAAATGTATCCACTCTGAGAAGTGCATGAAGGACTAAGTAGAACAGGAGTGTGTGTGTGTGTGTGTGTGTGTGTGTGTGTGTGTCCTTGTCTGGGGCAGCAGAATTAAGGGTGAAAACACATTTTGAGTTAAAATTCAACCTTCCCAGCCTCCGCAGACCTGACCCCACTCGGGAACACAGTGGTCGGACGTAGGCTGCGTTATAAGGCGAAGGCTGCCTGACAGGGCTGGCGTCCAGGAAAAGCAAATAAAATCTTCCTGCGAGTCCCTCCCTGAGGGCTGCTCACAAAGCCCTGGCAGCCCAGAGCCTGCAAACAAATGGGCCCCAGTGCTGCCCAGCAGAGCCCTGTTCCCCAGGTAGCTTTTGTCAGTTGAGACTAAGCCGTTAGCTGCACAAGCTCCGCTCCTCGGGGCACCACGCTGCCCTCTCCCTTGTCTCTTGTTCTGGGAACAGAAGGGGCCCATGTGTGGTTTCAGGAAATGAGAAGACAAGACCGTCTGTTTTAAGTGGAAAGGACCACCTGTATCGGGACTGTGAAAAGGGGGTCCTGTCAGAGAGCTTAGCATGGCCGAATAAATAGAAATCAACCTCCATTTTGGAGGACTCTGCACCAGTGTTTCTCCACAGAATCAGGAACTGTGAGAACTCAGGGTAGCCTCCAGAGCCACTGAATCAAAAAGAGCTTCCCTGCCAATGGAATTCTGTTACTTAAGAGTTTTGCCTATATTGTCTCATTTACTCATCCTAACGAGTTAGGTGGATAGGGATTATTAGTCCGATTTTACACCAGAGAAACAGAGGCTCAGAGAGGCTGAGTCATTTTCCCAGCGCCACACAGCCAGGAACTGACGGAGCCAGGACTTAAGCCCAGGCATTCTGGCTGCAGAAATCCTGCATTTCCTGCTACACTATCCCATCCCCTATGGACATCTTGTAGGACTCTCTTACAAATTAGGAGGGAAATGTAATTTATTTTCTTTATTGCCTTTTACATCCCACAAGAATACAAAGTCCATGAGGCAGGTATGTTTGTATATTTTGTTTGCTGCTCCCACAGTAATGCCTTGTACACACTGTAAGGGTTCAACAATCTCTGCTGAATGAATGAATGAATGAATGAATAATGGAGTTGGTGATGGCACCAGGCTTCAGGTTTTGCTCTTTCCCCAGTCTACCACTGCCACTTCTGCACACTCACAAACATCCCCTCATTTACTCAGGCCCACTCCAGGTTCTTGGCAGGCCCTGAAGTGAGAGGGACATGAGTTTGAATCCTTGCTTCACCACTTGGTAACTGTGAATTGACCAAATTACACTGTGTATTTGCTTGGCTTCCTCCTCCATAATTGGGGATAACAGCAATACCCAGGGCAGAAGGTATTACTAGGAATAAGAATATATTTATAAAACACCTCACACATAGTAGATGCTTAATAAATGAGGACTTATGGGGCACCTGGGTGGCTCAGTTGGTTAAACGGCTGCCTTCAGCTCAGGTCATGCTTCTGCTTCTGCTTCTGCCCCTCCCCCTGCTTGTGCGCGCTCTCTCTCTCTCTCTCTCTCTCTCTCTCGCTCTCTCATTATTTATCACTCTGACAAATAAAATCTTTAAAAAAAATAAATGAGGACTTAAAACAAAAACTCAGTGAGGCCCCACCCCAAATGGAATGTCCCCTCAGCCCCAGAGCAG